AGAATTCTGCCTAGAATGAAGTCTGGCTAGCATTTATCTTTTTATACACACACACACACACACACACACACACACACTATGGTAGCAGCCTACAGGCATTGCGCTTATTAGCTAAAATAAAGTTATATAACGTTTATAACTTTATAAGATGCCCTCAACCAGCAAGTCTGTTTCACAGATCTACTATTTCTCAATGGTTCTTGCAATGACCAAATGTCTATGCTAGGTTGCATAATTATATGGTTAGTCTAGAAAGTACCAGAGATGGTGTCTCTACTCTTTGAAAAGCTGTATGCTGGGCATTTCAAAAGTTAAAAAAAGATGCTGGGGATTTTCTTCACACCTTAATCATTTCAGAGAGGAATGCAACTCCTGTTCATGCCCTGATCCAAGTTGATGAGTTCTGGATTTTTAATTAAAAGCTGGAATGGAAATTTCTCAGTTCAGAAATTTGCCTCCAAAAGCAGATATTTAAATTGTCCTTGACTTCATTCCAAATCTCTAAAACAGAGGAGAAACCTTGTGCACTCTCTTCAGCCCTAGGACAACCACCAGCAAGGGGGATGGACTCAAGTTACAGTGCTGATGGGTAAATCATAGCAAGACCTGAAAGACCATATGAGGGATAAATTGTCATGGAGAAAATCTATGGGGTTGCTAGGAGTTGAAAATGGCTTGATGGCACATAATCAATCAATCAATCAATCCTCTTCAGCCCTGAATGTGCAGGTATGGGCACAAGCTCCTTATTTTTCATTTGCACCAAGTATCTTCTCTGGTCTTGCAGAGTAGACACGGAGTAAGCCCAGGTGCCTTTCCTCCAGCTCACAGAGTGGTATTAACCTGCTGTTCCTCTCCGCGTGGCCACAGCTCAGAGTTCTCCCTGCTGCATAGGCATGCCACACATCTCTGCCCTACCCCTCTAACTCCAGCCTTAGAAATAAAGATCTGGATACATGCCAGCCTTAAGCTCAGAGCACCTGTGCAAAGAGAAGCCCTTTTTGCTTCTGCTGCCACCTGCATAAAGGGACAGAGCTCATCCCACTGCACACCTGATTGACTTAAAAATCCAAATCTCAGCTTTCTACGACAAGTGGGCAATTGGTGCTAAGATCTAGACCAGAAGTAGTGGGGATGAGGACCAAAAAGCAGATGCAGATACATCATATATACAGTTGAGTTTGCAGAGAGCACTTAATTTTCTTTGTCTATGATATACCCATTCAAGGACAAACTGCACTTTCTGTGTCCATTTCCCAGCGCAAAATGGCAAGAAACTACTGTGTCAGTTTTAAACAATCATAAAGAAGACTTTGAGAACTGCAAGAAGGAAAGTCAGTGAAGGCACACAGCCCAAGGGCATGCAGCCGATTCCTGCTTTATAGCATCACTTCAAATTGACAGCTGCTATGGCACATAGCAGAGATACCTTTAAATTTTCTTCTCCTGCAAGCAGCTTTCTCAGGGTACTTTAGAGAAGTGTTTCTCAACCTCAGCAACTTTAAGAGGTGTGGACTTCAACTCCCAGAATTCCTCAGCCAGTGGCTGGCTGGGGAATTGTGGGAGTTGAAGTCCACACAACTTAAAGTTGCTGAGGTTGAAAATACTACTCTAGGAACAGGGAAATCCCCATATTTTTTTAATCCATCAAAGCCTGACTTCCCTTGGACAAAGATAAAGATGATTAAGAGCTAATGGCAGCAACTGAACATAGTGGTTAACAAGTAAGACTTGAACTGGGAAGATGCTGTTCAAGTTTGCATGGCCACTTGCCCATGGAGCCCTCTGGCTGACCTTGGTCCAGTCACCCTGTCTCAGCCTAAGCTATCTAACAGCCCTGGGCTGTTGCAGTGGGAAAAACAGGAGCCATCCACGGGTGACAGGAAAATAAGAAATTTGTTAGATTTCTATCCCGCCTTTCATACAGGAAAACACTGTAGAACACTGAGCTGAAGATAGAATACACAGTACTGCCTCCTATTTTTCCCAACAACAACCCTGTGAGGTAAATGGGGTGAGAGACAATGAATGGCTCAGAGTCACCCAGGGGGCTTCCACAGCTGGGTCTCCCCATTCCTAAATTCAACACTTTATCCCTTAAACCACACACACAAACACACACACAGAGAAAGGAATAATTTGATGTGCCCTATCAATGGAATACATCTTTTCCATAGCAGATACATAGAACTTTGATTAATGAGTATTAACTTCAAATTGAAAAAAAAAAAATTCTTCGCCATGGCATATTCTCTGGAATATTCTGCCCCCGGAGGTGAGATTGGCCCCCTCACTCCTGGCCTTCCGGAGG